GAGGCCATTTAAATAATTTATCCTGGATTTGCTCCTGTATTCTTATCCATTGGAGATTTACATACTTGAGATATATATGCACGCAATTTTGTATCCTTGTTTGCTTAACATTGTATCATAAGCACTTTCAACGTCATTAAAAGTCCATCATAAACATAATTTTAATACCCAAAGTTGGTGATAAATATCTCAGTGCAGGAATCTTCTTCTTTATTTCAGATTTCCTTAGGATAAATTGCTTCTTAGAAGTGGAATTACTGTGGGCAATGGGAATAGTACATTTTAGAATGTTCCTTGACACACTGACAAATTGCTTTCCAGCAGTGTAGCAAAATCACACCACCAGATAAGAGGGCTGATTTCATTGGACCCTCACCAATAATGAAGAGATGTTTATTGATAAGCAACATTTGTTAATATTACTGGTAAGGGGAAAAAAACCCTATCTTTTAAAAAAGTCTGGAGTTGGTTTAGTCTGAGACAGTACGGCTGCGGCGTTTTGGTCTTTCAGATAAGTTCTTCTGCCAGAGCTGCAGATTTCAGTGTATCCTGGCATGAGAGGCTCCGCCTCCACCTGCTGCCACTGTCCTCTTGGAGCTAAAAGATATCTACTTACAGATAATATTGTGAAATTATAAGAATTTCAGCATAAGAAGATGGTTGTTGCATATAATCTTCCTGGCACCAAATAAATCTGTTTTAGAAACTTGGAAGAGAAACTGACCTAGAACAAGCTCATCTTGAAGGGGAAGTTAAGAACCCTACTTCATTTGCGTGAGTCCTGGGACCACGTCGAACTGGCTAAAAATGTCACTTGCAAGTACCATACAGAAAACAGAAATGTCACTTTGGCGGATTATAAGTTTGGACCACTTTTCATAAGACTGTGTTATGACTCGAATCTTGAGGAATTTGCAATGGAGCTCATGAAAGATGAGCATTTACAAGGGTTCTCAGACTCCACACAATTTACTATTTTGATGGATATGTTATTTACCAAAAGCAAATATATAAGTGCTTTGAAAATATTGACAGAGATGAAAAACCCAGACGGGAAGTTCACCAGTATACCTATGTTCTTGCTTTTGCAATTGGCTACAAAATGAATAGCTCTCAATCTTTCAAAGTCTGTACTACATTAAGAAATGAGGCCCCAATCAAAAGAGTTCTCTCCAGGAGAGCATCCTGTTTCCTGTGGCATTAGAACCAGGTGGCAAAAGCTATGCCCATTTTTTTCTCACATCATGAATCCAGAAAGCATAAAGTTTACTAATTTAGATATGATAATCCATATCCAGTCAAATATGTTAGCAACTGTGATAGAGATAACAAAGGGTGTTGCAGAAGGAAGTGTATCAAGATTCGTTGAAAGGCCTGAGTTCTCAGAGGAACTGCTGGCCAAAGTGAGGAAAAAAGGGAAAGATGCGCTCGTCTTTGTGGCCAGATATCATGAGATGTATGGAAAACTGCATGTCATTGTCCAGGTCACCACTTACACTTTGGATCCTCTGCCTTGCGACATCCCTTTAAAAATGCAAGGGACAGGAAATCCCACATGTTGCCGTAAAACAACAGGATGGTCACCAGTTAGACCTTCACCCTCTCTGCTAGTCCCTGCTGGCTGAGTAAATCCTAGTTTCAGTCCACCCGTGGGTATGAAGGACCTGCTTCTAGTGAGTTATTGGCTTCCCTAAGAAACAGGCATCACACTTCACCAGACACTACAGTGACACTTGATTTCCTCCCTAAAATCACTGAATGGTGGCATGCTGCTCTCTGAGAGGTTATGTCGTGTCACTGTGAAGATCTAGATAGAAGCACAGAAAGCTTAGCTCCTTCAGAAAGCAGGCTTCCCCTGTGCACACTATTGAGGATCCTTGAAGGAATATGGTCACTGTCTCCAGTCCAGCTTCCAGTACTGGAGTGGAACCCCGCAGGCACCATCAGGAATGAATTTCACTACAAGTGTGGTCAACTCTGATTTGCAAGGGAGTCATTACTTGCAAATTATACCCTTGCTGAATTCAGGAGTTCCAAAACCCTATTCTACCATATCAGAAAATAGCCCAGGATTTCCTCACTGCTCTGCCTTCATGTATTCTGTAACTTGAGCCGTCATTTTCTCATCTGCAAAATAATAGTGCTTATGTGTATTTGCATATATATTTGAAATCTTCATTCAAGGTTCAGTAGGGTAGAATTTTCTCAAAAATAAGAGAAATAAAGGTTCTGGAGCAAAAAAAAGAAAATCTGGATTTTAAATTACTACTGAGATTGAATCTTTAAAAATGCAAGTAAAACTATAGGTCACTTAAAACTTCTCTAAGATAAATGTTGTATAAATACACTGGTGCTTGCTCTTCATTAACTCAACTAATAAAAGGGAAATAACTTAAATCATACGTAAAGTTGCTATATCAGAGTTCTTGGTCGCAACACTGAAATCATTTCTGGCTGACTGAACCAGAAGAGAAATATATTGGAAAGTCATTAAGTAGCATACCAAAGAGACAGGAAGTTTGGCAAATCAGGCTCCTTCCACAGGAAGGGAAGCTTAGCAGCTGAAATTAGAACAGGTGGGTCATCACACCATTCAAACAGCTCACTGAGGACACCACTGGCATTGCCACAGTGTCACCTCTGGCACTACTGTCTCTGAACACAAAACCCACTTCACAGATAATGGAGACATTTCTAAAATGTTTCTTCTTGAAACACATAATCCAGACTCAAATAACGGTACAGGAGTCTCTGAGGCTGGTGTTGGGTCACAAAATGATACTCTAGCTGCCAGGGATCGGGAGACGGTGGGTATTGGGCCATTTTGGCTTTTATATAAATTTGGATGCCAGATAGCAAGACCAGGATCAATGACTGCTCTAAACATGTATGTGGAATTTTTTGTTTCATAATGCTTTTTAGGAATCTGGCTAACCTTCTTAATTATCACTGAATTTTAAATTGTCCAGGAGATCATGAGATCATCTGGTCCAATACTGCAAACTCAAATGCCTACCATATTCTCAAATGTCAGTGAGGTGGGGGTGTATGGGAGTGGTGGGGACTGTGGAAAACTGAAGAGTGTCTTCACAGTCTAAAGGGGACACCCGCTATTCAGCTCCAGCTGATGACTGCTAGAACTCGCCTTGGACCAAATATCTGATGTTACAATTTTACAGAAAATGTGAAAAGTCTGAATTTCTGTGAAGTCTCCTAACTTCAACATTTGGAACCAACTTCAAACTAAGAAAAACAACACTGTTGCTTCTTAAAAATCAAGGCTGCAGGCTGCCTCCAACAATCAAACCTCCTCATTTAAAAGAAAAGAATTCAGGAAGATGAGGCTTAAGAAGGTGAAATGCCTGAGACCAAACAACTCAGTTGGTGGCTGAGCCAGGGCTAGAATTTTGGTTTCCAGAGGAAAGACTAAGAAAAGCCAGTGTTTTGCCACCCCACTCTGCAGCCATTTCTCTCACTTGGAGGTAAGCTCCCAACCAAGCTCAACAAAAGCGACTCTATTTCATCCAGCAGCAGCAACCTTCATAAAATGTTTATCAATTAATAGAACCTGTCAAGCCAATAGAAACAGCCTTCAGTATTGGATCAGAGTTAAAATTTAAGCTTCTACTACTTTCTTGGTGATTAACCTGGGAAAAATTATTTTACTTCTCTGTCTCTCGTTCATGGAAAAAACAAAAACAAAAAATGAGTCCTTTTATATATAGGTTGTAGCAGATGGAATAAGATCTTGTGTACCGACTGCCTAACACAGTGCCAGAACTGTAGTAAGAACACTGCATGTGATAGTACCATAACATCCAAGAGATATTCTAATAATTCGTATTTTCCAAGTACACACAAATTGGGGGTAGGGGGAAGAACTAAGGTGCTTCATGGTGGGCGTAGCCAGTTGTGAATAAATATCAAAAAGGAATTCCTGATATGAGGTATAAGTGGGATTTTCAACTAAAACCCTATCCTTCCCCAGACTCCAGTGACAGTTTAACGGTCAGCTGCATCAAGGCTTGTGTACTGTGCAGTCTTCAAAGGCACCACTCCTGTCTATCTCGGTGAAATTGATGGTGGAGCAAAGGGGACTTTAGGTGGTTCCGGGCTGGGGAGAAGACGTGCAGGGTTTCAGATGCGAAAGTGGCACCCAACCGCTTCACTCTCGCTCTAGGCCATCCGCAGGGGCCCTGCTTCCTTCCACCTGCGGGCTTTTTCTGCAGAATGCGGGAAGCTGCCGCCGCCAGGGAGGAGGGGGCGGAGGCAGAGGCGGAGGCGGCACCCAGGGGCCGGGGCAGGGGAGGCCGGGACCATCGCAGTGACAATTTATTTTCCTGCAGCAGCGGCAGCAGGGACGGCTGCTGAAGGTTCGAGGTCGGCCGGCCTGCGCGTGGGTTTGCGAGGAAGCTGTTCATCCCCTGCGCTGAGGTGTCCGACAGTGAGGAGGAAAGCGACGCACGGAGCCCGCGCGAGTGGAACCAGCAAAGCTCCATCGGTCGGCACAGGAGAAGGGGGAGGAGGCACGGCCGAGGCAAACGAGCGGACGCCTAGTCGCCGGGTACCGGTATCACCCTGCTGCAACGCCTTCTAGAAAAAGCCACCGCGGCCCGGGTTGCAGCGGCCGGACGGATGCCAAGGCCACACGGCAGGCGCGGGGGCAGCCGTCGCAGTCGCAGTCCCACGCGCGCTGCGGACACCCAGGGTTGCTGGTGAGTAGCGGCGCGCGCGCTTGAGAGAGAGCGCGCACCGGACGGGGAAGTACGCACGGCGGGTGCGTGTGCCTCGTGGCCTGGCGCGCGCCGGCCCTTCCGCTGGCAGCGTCCGGTCCCGGGCTGGCTCCGGGGGAGGAAAAAGGCACTTTGGCGGCTGATCGCTTCCTTCCTGCCAGTCCTGCGATCGGCCGCCTCCATCGGCGCCGCCTGCATGCGCCGCTCCGCGGGGCCCTCGGGGTTAGTTTCACCTTGATAGGGAGGCAGGAAGCCCTGGCTGCTGGTGGCGGGGCGGGACTCTGGCCTGACCTATACGTGGGTGCGCCTGTTTTTCTGGTTCAGCCCTGGGTTGCAGCCCTGGAGATGATGTCGACCTTGGGAGAGACCACTGCACTGTCTCTAGCGGCGCGGTGTGGAGGAGGGAAGGGCGAGGGTTAGAAAAACGGACCTTTACCCTGGCCGAGCAGGTGCCATGCCTTTCCGGATGATGTTACTTTTGTGCCGTTTATGAGCGACTAAGACATTGCGCCGCACCTGAATAACTTAAAGCCTTCACCTAAAGCCCCCAGTGAGATGCACAAAGAAATGGAATGTCTCCAAAACATATTTTTTTCAGAACTTTCTCTAAAACAACTCACGCTGCTGATACCCCAGAGCCAAAGGTGCCATAATTGCTGAAGTTTAAAAGAAAATTTATACAAGGAATAAGTAATTCAGGAAACGGAACCCAATCTAGAGGTTTGAAAAAAAAAAAAAAAAATCCAGTGCCTGGGAAGTGGGGTGGGGTGGCCTGCTTCCTGGAAATCTGTGTTCCGTAGTAAGTAAAAAAGACAGCTTTCAAAGTAAGCCCCAGTGAGCACACTGCTTTCCAAACATCCTGCTCATTACTGAGAATAACATGAACTCCTGGATTTTAAGCTATTTCCGAAGACATAATAGATATCACTAGGATGCTGGTTTATGGTCTCATGATTTAAGGCCCTGTCAAGGTCATTAACGTAGATTTGTTCCAGCTGATAAATTATACCTGAATGTTTGATTGTCCGTGTCAATATTTTTGAGGGTGGGTTTTGACGGTTGTTTTACACAGAAATTAAGCCACCGTGTTTTGTTTTTATCCCGACCTTGTTTCCATTGGAAATTTTGTGTTTTCAGGATGGATGCTACATTGTACTTCAAAAATATACTCTGCCACTGGATTATAGTGGGCATTGTGTAACTACGCTATCCATATCTTTATTTTTAATACAAGTTAATGTCGCTGAGCAGTAGACTCTTTTTGTTTACCATTTGCACCATGAGAGCTTCTCCATTCAAAGGCGTAAAATGTTATTGGAATCTACCTGGAAAATGAATTGGCTGATTGTTTTCTGTTCAGAAACGCATACAGCAAATTGCCACGGAGAATCTGCTTTTGCATATACTTTGGCTGTAATTTATGTAGCAACTGGTTCTTGGGAATTTCAAGAAGAAACTTGTTTTCTTATCCCCACCTGTAAAGTAAGCACCAAAATTTAAATTATAAGGCAGATAACCTAAGTCCTTTACCCCTATCTCAACCTTCAAGGCCTGTTTCTTGGTACTATTTCCCTGTTTCATAGGAGTCTTACGGTTTGTGGGAGGCTTGAAGGGAGTAATGAGGGAGCTGTCTCCTAAGGATGTCCTCAGTAGAGAGATTTGCTTCTGGAGGAGAGAGTGTCTTTGGGGTTGGTTCTTAAGAAGGACTGATAAAAATATTATAAAGGATTGTTAATAATAGTTCCCTCTTCTTACTTTCAGCACATAGGACTTAATTAACACCATTTGATCATTTCCTTCCTTTAGGACCCTTCCCAGCTGTAAGAATTTACTGCTACAATCCAAGAAATGAGATTGCATTTTACACGAAAAGAAGGCTGATAATTCTTGCCCAAAACATGAGAAGTAGAAGGAATGTGAGATAAAATAATGTAGCTTCCGTCCAGGAAGTGCTAGGTGCTTTCCTCGTGGGTACATTTACCAATTAGAGACATTTTAATTAATCTACTGGATTTGCGATTCTGTCTACTACTAACATCTTTTTCTTGACCTTATGAAAGATTTATAGATGGCTTCAACTGAAACTACAGGAAATGACTCATGGTTATCCCTGAAGATATTAGAGCCAGCTTTCCATTCCTTAGAGCTGATGCATAGCAGCTCTTTGATAAATATTTGCTACATAAATGAAAAATTTTAGAATGTCTTCCTAACCAAACTACATCACCTCTTTTGCTATTGATTTTTTAAATCATAACTTTATATGAGTCACCAAACATTCCATCAAATTGAATCCCAGTTCATATAATCAATTAAGAAGGCCAACATCCTCGATTGAAGAAACAATAATAAAATCAAAACAAAACAAAAACAAACAAAAAATACTATTGGTACCTGTTGACTTGCTTATTCCAGCTATCTGAACATGTGAACAGTCCAGTTGAACGTGTGAATGTACATTCAGAAATCCTGAGTTGACATCAGAATGTTCAACTCAGGAATAATCTGGATGTAGCTACATCTGGATGTGGCTTTTGTCAGAAATTATTTGCATTTCTAAGCAAATCAGATTAACTTCTAGTACAATCTTGCATCTCTGCATGTCAAGTGGACAGGCCAATTTAACATTTGGCATATTGCTGAGTCTTCAAAACACATATTGTTTGATTCTTTAACTTTTAAATTAAATCCATATTATTTTTTCTATTGATGTGGTTGGTTTAGAGACATTAAATTAGACTGGTGGTTACTTAGTAACTTGTGTTTGGTGGTTACTTAGTAACTTGTGTTTATTAAAAGAAGCCCGTTGATATAAACACCAGTACTTCTTATGTCTTGATTTGCTCTAGTTAACCTTTCAAGGTACTCTTTTGGAAATGGGTCCATTGTCTTGAATATTAAGGATGTTATGACTCCTTTTTTTTGTTTGTTTTAATTCTGACTTTCCATCTCCCATCATTAGAAAGTCTCCCAGTTATTCAGGTTCCAGTTTCAGGGTGACAGATTAGAAAGCTATCTGAAATTTACCTGGATATTAACTTTCTAGTGGATAATAATAATGCAAATCTTATTCTTGAAATTCTTCCTCTTATGTCCTTCTCTGATCAAGCTTGTTTCATTCTGAACAAAAGTAAAATAAGATTCTCAATTTATTTTTAAAAATTGGGCTATGTCCAAAGATAAATACATAAAAGTAAAATATTATGTAAAATAAAAAACTGCTTATCACTGTTCTGAAGTAGCACAAACACTGCTATTCTCTGCATAATGAAACGTGGCCATTCCTATCAAGTATTTATTTGATAAGTAGGCTCTTGAGCACTTGAACAGGAGTTAAAAGCAGATTTCCTCCATGTCGTATTAAGGCTGGGGGAGGAATTTTGATTTGAGGTGGTAGCCAATTGTAGGTTCCTTGAAAGGGAGCAGGTGTGAAAAGCATCTTGTCAGAAGAACTCTTTGGCAGTTGGGTGGAGAGTGGATTAGTATTAGCGAGTGGAGGCGACAATCCAGTGTCTGATGGTGACAGCCTGATCTCAGATCCCATTGCGATGGAGAAAAGAAAACCTCAGGCAGATATCAGGATTCTTTGTTTTATGTAAAAGAGATCGAAAACCTGTGGCACAAGTGTGATCATTAATACCTTCCATACCCACAGGGACATCACCAGTGGATTACAGCATTCTTTCCTGTGGAGCCCTGGTGTAACCTCAGAATCTTGCAAACATTTGACAAATATTTATTAATAGCTGTTCGTTATTGAAGATGTGTTATATGCCAGGCACTGTACTGCTTTAACACAAGTTTATCTCAATGGTGATGGAGTGGTTGGAAACAGGATTTTTCCCCCCACTTTCTAGTTGTGTATCCTTGGACAAGTTACTGACTTCTGTGAGTCTCAGTTTCCTTGCTTTTCAATTGAAACATTAGTTTCTATCTCAGAAGGTTTTAGGGAGGGTTAAATAAATAGCTGTAAATACAAAGTGTTTCGAACAATGTCTGGCACAAAATTAAGTGCTATATGTGTTCGTTGTTATTCTTGTTATTATTCTTTAAATAACCTTATGCCTAAGTACCATTTTGCAGATTTAAAAAATGGATGTACAGAGGAGCTATGTGAATTGCTCAGCATCATAGGCTGGTAAATGGTAGAGCTGGCCATCAAACCCAGGCAGTATGACTCCAACACCTCTTGTCCTGACTTGTATGGATCCCTGTCTCCTATACTGCATACCGGGTGCTGGGGATACTGATTGGAGCAAGAAAAGTAGGGGCTTGTCCTCATGGAGCTTCAGTGTTCCAATCCTCTCCAATGTAGATCTGTCATCTCCAATGTGGAATTAGTAGCCGGATTATAACTGTTTTTCCTTGATGTTTTGGTATTTTGTAGGTAATGTTTTTATTAAGTTCTTTATTAAGAAGTGCTCCAATTTGTGTTTTCATATATGCTTTAAAAATGGATTATTTTCTGGATCTTTACCCTAACACAGTTGGCATATACAATACTCATGTCTCTCCTTATACTCAAGGTTTCTTATGTCTCCCTCATATAATGTATCAGATTCTGGGGCAAGTTTTAGGATTCTGAAAAGCTTATATGCCATCCACTTACCTCCACACTCCCAGAGTCTCAGATATCTCCCATTGTAAGCTGTGGTGGAGTGAGAATGACATTTCTAACCATCTTTTAATTCAGCGTATTCAGAATGTTTTATAGAGTAATGGCAAAGCAAGTTTTAGTTATTCTTTGACTTGTTGAAGTAATTATGTCTAGTTATAAGAAGCCAGATTTTATTTATAGGTGGGAAGACTCCTGTGGCAGTGAAGAAGCAATTCTTAACTCCTTCAGAGCTTTAGGATGGAATCTGCCATCACTGATTCCCGTATTTTGACTTTATTGCATTAATTCTTATAAACGTTTGTTCTTATAACTCTCAGAAATCTATAGCTAGTATTGTTTTCATCTAAGTAGGTGCAACTTTTTCTTGGTCTTGTATAAAGTTGAATTTGCCTCCAGCGAAGCATCATTGAGTATAAGGAGAGATATATGTGTTGTGTATGCCAACAGTGTTAGGCAAAACAAAAACAAAATAATCAATTTTTTAAAGCATATGTGAAAACACAAATTGGAGCACTTTTTAATAAAGAACTTAATAAAAGCATTGCTTACAAAATACCAAAACGTCAAGGAAAACTAGCAATCCTCTGGGTACTAATTTTACATTGAAGATGATAGATTTACTTTGAGATTTACTTTGGAGATGGTTGGAACCCTGTAGTGCCATGAGGGCAGGCCCCCACTTTTCTTGCTCCAGTCGCTATCCTCGGTACCTAGCATGCAAGTATAAAACACTAATAATTTTGTTGATGGAAATTTTGAAATCTCACTGTCAAAAATATACTCTGCATCCTTTAATTTACCTTTTTGTGTAAATTACACATTATATTATTTGGCAAAAGTTCAATTCTTTTTAAAGAAAGATTTTAAATTTCATGAGTCTAAATCTGATAAAAGATGAAAGAATTTGAGATTTGGTGAATTTGGCTCTTTGTTTTTTAAACTGTTGCGATACTTAGGTTTCGGTGGCATCACAGTAACTGAACCAGATTCAGCAAAAGCTCATGCAAGAGATAACTGTTAAGAGGCCCATCAGGAGTTATTCATTTTAATTGTGTGATTTGATGCTTCTCTGGGTTAATTTAGAAACAGGAAGCCAATGATG